ATATTAGAGCTCTTTCAGGGTCAGGAAAATAAGACCCATTATTGTTACTGTTTTTGGCATATCAGATACACCATGGGGAGCTTGATAGGCTCTGTCATGCGGGCGGGATACTCTGGATAACTTGCTGGACTCTTTGAGAGGAACGAAGAATGTATATAAGAGAATACAAACAAGTATGCTAATACCAAACTTGTGCTGCTTTAGGTACATCATTGGGCTAGACTATAAAAGGTCACATGGCTGGCTGTGTGCTTCCTGGAACTTTGTTATATAGTCCTGGATCTTGACAGTTGATGGGATTACATGATACTGGGGACAGTTTGCGGGTGTGACTGCCAAGCTACTGGAAAATGGGGGATCTGGGTGGAAGAGGTCCAGTCCCTCTCTAAGCAGGCTTGGAGATCTCAGCCCCAGGTCCTACATACATGGGTTCCTCTGCCGGTTCCTTCATGCATGAGGCTCATCAGACCTTGTGGAGAGTGGCCTTGAGCATGGCTGTGGCTGGATTCTGGTGGTTTTTGGCTTCCAGGGTTCTCTTGTGGTGGGGACGGAAACTCAACCTGCCCCCCTCCAAGGGACCCAGTAAAGACAGCCTGAAGTGGGGGCAGGAGAATCTGCGTCACTCTCTTCTGGGAGCTTTGTTTTATAATCTCTGGGTCTCCTGCCCCCACACCAGGCTGTCTTCACCAGGATTTCTCGGAGGGAGGCAGGTCCATCCCTGCCCCAAGCAGTACCACGGCAGCTGAAAACCTCCAAAACCCAGCCACAGCCATGCCCAAGGCCACTCTCCACAGCCCGGACAAGCCTCACATATGAAGAAACTGGCAGAGGAACCCAGGTATGCAGGACCCAGGGCTGAGATCGTCAAGCCTGCTCAGATTAAGACTGAATCTCCTCCACCCAGATCCCCAGTTTTCCAGTAGCTTGGCAGTTACACCCACACACTGCCCCCAGAGCCATGTAATGAGATCCAAGTATAAAATAAAATTTAATACAATATATTTTAGATTCCAGAGTTGAAAAATAACTATTTACATGAGAATGGGCATTTTATTGCATTGTATTAGTTTACTATATGGTCTTAATTTCCTTATTTTAATAGGTAAAAATCTTATAACAATCACAAATTAGCTTTTACTGATTTATTTTCATAATTTTTATTTATTTCCCATTTCTTTAAGCTTTGTTGGAGCAAGCAGTATAAAGTATATTTGTTATGAGACTATGGGGGGAAAATTGGGGTTGAGAGGGAAACTGGGGACATTGGTGGAGGGAAGGTAACATTGGTGGTGTTGGAACATTAAATGACCGAAACTGTATTGAAAAACTTTGTAAATCATGTTGTTTTAATAAAAATTAAAGCTAAAAATATTCAAGAAATAGGAATTATTTGTAATAGCTTCTTTCAACCCAATGTGAGCCTATTACCAAAAGGAGACAGATTAATTATTTAAAAAAATAAATTACAGGGTAGTAGTGGTAGTACAGGAGGTAGGACATTTACTTACATGTGGCCAACCTTGGTTTGATTCCCAGAATCCATATGGTCCCTTGAGCACAGCGAGAAGTAATTCCTAAATCTAAAGCTAAGAGTGACTTCTGAGCATGGCCAGGTGTGGCAAAAAAATTCAAAATAAATGAGTAAAATAACGAATCAATAATCGTGATGAACTCTGACGTGAAAATCTCAACAGAAACTTAACAAAATAAAACTAACAGTATATCAAAAGGATCATACACTACAACAAAATATATTCATTTCAGAGATGCAGAATGATTCAATATATTTAGGCATCTATAAAGGGTAAGATCAAATCATATTATCATATCAATAAACGCAGAGATAGCTTTTGGCAGGATTCAACATCAATAAAGATCCTCCATCTTAGTACACCAACAGCCTTGGCCCAGAGACACAGCAGCAAGTCCTGGAAGACACTGTATAGCCAGAGATCTCTTCGGGCTCTATACAGGGCCAATTTCACTGGGACATCTCAGTTTGAGCAGGTGCAATCTCCCCACCTACTCCAGTTGGAATCACAGTGACCAAGAGCTTCCACAAGCAAGGTCCCAGTGTGTGGGTTCCAGAACTGAATCTCCAGAATGCATGGCAGCAGAGGACCTGGGCTGTCCCTCCCCGGGTCCCTGCCCACCCAGAAAACTGATTGTCATGTGTACAATGTGCCTCTGGGAACCATCTTAGCACACCAACAGCCCTAGCCCAGAGACTCCCAATTGGATCCCAAAATGGATTAGTGCCATACAGAGATGTCTCTGGAACCCAACCATTTACAATCTAGAAATTTATATTTATAATCGTGGCTGTGCAATCTCTCATGAGATTCAAAATAAGCAATGGAAAATAAATTATTTAGCACCTGCCCCTGGCAGGTAGGCTGAATGGTGGTGGGAAATTTCAGCAAATTATAATGCCCAAAATTAGAGACAGAGTATTGGGGAAGAGCAGGGTGAGAAATGGGATGTGGGTGATGGAAAATGTGCACTGGTGGAGGCATGGGTGTTTCATCATTGTATGGCTGAATCTCAAACATTAAAGCTTTGTACCTCTATTTCATGGTGATACAACTAAAAAAAAGTTGTATCACCATGAGATAGAGTTACAAAGTTAAAAGGAATGGCTGAGATTAGTACCAGGAATTTTGCCCCATGAATGGAAGGCCAGCCACAGGCTCTAGGTGAAAAGGAAGCTCAGATAGAGAAGAGATTACCAAATGAAGGGTGTTGTGAGGGCCCTCCCAGGGTGGGAGAAGCATGCTAAAAGTAGTCGATAGACCAAACATGATTGCCACTCAAAGCCTCTCTTGCAAAACACAGTACCCAAAAGAAGAGAGAGAGAACAAGGGGGAATACCCTGCCACAGAGGCAGGATGGGACGGGGGGGGGGGAATGAGGGGGGGGGATGCTGGGACCCATGGGGATGGATGACGGGCACTGGTGGAGGTATGGGGACTTGATCATTGTATAACTGAAACCCAAGCACAAAATTTGTAAGCCTATAACTGTACCTCATGGTTTTTCACTAATAAAAAAAATAAAAAAATAAAAAAAAAAAAAGTTACTTTTAATTTTAAAAATTAAAAGTTACTTTAAATTTTTATTAATAAAAAAAGGTAATGTAGAGTCCATGCCCAATTCAATCAGCTTAATTAATGGCTGAACAAATGGTAGTCCTCCTACATTATTTAAAAAATATAACCTCAACAGAATAAGGATGAAAGGAATTTACTTCAAAATAGCAGTGGTCAGTTACAAAACACTGGTAGCCAATGTTATACTCTGTAGCACTGTAGCACTGTCCTCTCTTTGTTCATCGATTTGCTTGAGCGGTCACAGTAATGTCTCCATTGTGAGACTTGTTCTTACTGTTTTTGGCATGTCGAATAGGTCATGGGTTTCTTGCCAGGCTTTACTGAGGTGGAATACTCTTGGTAGCTTGCCGGGCTCTCTGAAAGGGGCAGAGAAATTCAACCCAGGTTGGCCACATGCAAGGTGAACACCCTACCCGCTGTGCTATCGCTCCAGCCAATGTTATACTCAGTGGGAAAAAAATGAAAAGCCTTCTGAGATATAGAACGAGGCAAGGATGTCCACTTTCTCCACATTCAATATAGTCATGGAAGTCCTTGGTACAGCTTTACTGAACAAAAAAGAGAAATTTTTAGACCTTTTAAAAACAGTATTCCAAAACATAAAGTATATAGAAAATAATTGAAGAATATGAAAGACATACATTGAAAACTATGTCTCTATTAAAAGAAGTAACACAAAAATGGGAAAATTTTCCCTGTTTCTGGATCAGAAGAATTAACACTGTCAAAATGACTGTCTTTCACAAAACATTAAACAAATTCAATGAAATTACCACAAAATTTCTGATGCTGTTCTTCAAGGACTTAGAGTAAACTTTACTAAAACTTTTATGGAATTGATGTGCAGTAATATTGGTCTGGCTCAGCTGCCTGGAGAGTAAGCCTCCACTGGGGTCACGAATAGGTAGCTCACAGACGTCTCCCAGACATGCCAGTGTTCTGTCACTGCCTCTTGTGTAGACAGAGCTGGTGGCTCACCCAAGACACCCAGAGAATCCTTTGGCATAGGCAAAATAGCAGTGTCTGGCACGCTGACTGGGGCTGCTGGGCCCGGGTTTCTAGCAGTTGGACTCAGTCCCAAGCATCTGGGGACCTCGTTCAGGATGGCTGTGTCACACTGTCAGAGAGGAGCTCTCCTCCAGGCCTGGTGAGCTGAGGGGAGGCGACCGCCTGGTGCTCAGTAGAGCTGGGTTCATAAGGTTGCAGGAAGCTGTCTAAATAGCACTCACTAGAATTTCAACGTTAGCGATTGTCCCTAATACCTAATGGCCATGAGCCAGATGGTATAAGAGTGATAGCGAGAGTTTTGCCTCTTATGATTCTGGCACTTCCCAGACCGGTAGCACTATCTGGTTCTCAGACACCTCCTTTAAGGGCAAGTTTCCTTCTGCTATTGTTCATTCCCCATGCATCCTCTGTGTTGAGACTCCAGAGAATCACCTCTGTGGAGAGTCACCAAGGAGTTGCAGTACCCAATGCCAAATGCCTCCCTTCAGCATCTGCCACATTTCTGCTGAGGTATCTCTGTTCACTTACACTGTGGCCTCCTTTTCCACAACTCTCCCTGAGATGTGTGCTTTAATCTTCACAGCAGTGCAAGATTTAATTCTTGATAAGAACATACTTTGGTCTCTCCAGCCTACCTTGGTGCTGCCAAATTCTTTTTTTTAAAAATCTTTTCTTTTTCCATGTGATTGTTTGGTTTGTACCTGTCCAGTAAATTCACTCAAGGCCATACCTCCGATTGGAGTACATATGTCATTGGCTGCCTTTGAAAGGGGGAACAGATGCCTCTGGATTTTCACTGGACTTTGCCTTTCTCTTCTCTGGGTGGGAGCACTGTCCCTTTCCCCTAGTAAACTCATCACACCTCCTCTTGTTTATCTCCAGGACTCCTCGTCAGCTGGACCTGCCCCAGGAGCTGAGCAGCAGGGCACAGCACCCAAAATCCAACTGCCCCTTAACGTGTGAGTTATTTCAGTTTTTACTTTTGAGATTCCACACCTTTACCATATCCATCCTACCTTACTCTGTAATATTATATGGGACTCACATTTGTAATCAGTTGCTCAGGCTATTCACATGTATACTGCTGAACAGAGTGTGAAAACAAAAACATAGTAGGTTTTTTAAATGACATCCCTAGGATGCTTATTAAAATTAAGGAAGAGATTCAAAATATTTGACCACCACAGGTATTGGTCCTTTAGGGTCAGAATCATCCCGAGCACAAAAAAGGCCCCCACACCCCTGGAAGGTCTGAGGTGAGCCTAGCAGCGGCACATCACTGCAAGAGAAGTGGGTGGTCTTGAGAGTGTGGGGCAGTAGCTAAGTTAGTAAATGCTCAGAAGTAGCTCCAAATTTTAATAACCAGAATTGCTGTTCCAGCTGCACATCATCTCCAAATATAACCATATGAATCACTGCTAGGAAGTGAGATGCTTATCTTATTTAGAAAACTAGCTCCTATTAAATTACAGCTCTACATGCAGTTTTAAAGTTTCTCTTTTGAAATAGAGTTCAGAGCTAAACTAACTTCTACTCTATTACTTGGTGATATATTCAATTACTTAAATACAAAATTTAAAGTGTAAAAATTTTATTTTGCCAACACTATGGCATCGATAAAAGTTCCACAAATCTTATCAGGTCAAAGGGACAGAGCACCTGTGTGGTTATGAATCAGAAAGTATTCCAAACAAAAAACAAATGTCTTTTGAAAAATCAGCTTTCAAAACTTGAGAAGGTTTTCTAGAAGTAGCTTGAAAACATGTTCTGCTCCCTCCATAATTTAAGTTGAATTATTTGCCTTTGTCTGGCATCAGATGGGAAACAGGAACATTCTCCCCAGTCTGTCCACAATGTCAGAATTAGCTTATTTAGCATGACCAAATGAACACAAGGAAATTGAGACTTTTTACCAGACTTACAATCATGCACATAGCAGCTAGCTGCCAGATTCTCTAAGCTCTTGACAGGATTTCTTCCCAGACCTGACAAAGGATGTGCCTGGTGATGAGGTGTCCTATGTGCTGCAGCAGCACACCTACTGCATACGCTGAAGGACTGGGGACCAGGGAAAGGAAAACGGGTGGTGATGGTCTTACACCTGCTGAATAGTCAGATGTGAGACCCCGTCCCTGAGGAAGCAGGCCCTGTAACAGAATCCTCAGAATAGCCCTCGGTTCTAACATGATGGTGGAGCCCTGAATAGTGTGTGAGACTACGCCCACTGCACACAGTAAAATCCATCAGATGCCCCCAATTATTTTCCTTTTGGGGGTGGGGGCACATCCAGTGGTTCTCAGGCTTTCTGAGCAGGGTTCACTCCTGGGAACCATATGGGATGTCAGGGATCAAGCCCAGGTGTGTGCCTGGCAGACCCCTACTTGCTTTCGCTCTGGCCCTGAACATCTCTCAGTTCTTAACCATACCTGTAGTTGGTGCTTGGGAATAGCAGAAACCAATCTGCCTCCAACTCACTGTTTAAACACAGACTCATGATCCTTTTGAGCCTTGATTTCCTTAGCTGTACAGAGGGATAGGGGGGAGGAAAGGAAAATGGAGTGTCAAAATTCACATGGCCTTAGAGAAGGAGGGCATGTTACAAATGTCAGTGCCCTGCCTGAGTCTGTAGTGAGGTGAACAGCTGACAGCCCTTTGGGTCCAGTAGCAGACTTCTACAACAAATAAATAAATAAAATGAGCGTTTTGACTCTGAAGATTTTGAGAGCCTGGCTTTGAAGAGTGGAGATGCCGTGTTGCCAGTGGAGTGATGCCGTCTTTGAGAGTGGCACTTCCTCTGCCCTACTTTCCATCAGCACTGCAGGATGTCTGTGCCACTAGAACATGATAAATAAAATAACCAACATAGCAAAGTCCATGCACTTCCCTCAGTTGGAAAGCTAGGCTTATGACTTTACAAAGCACCATTTCTCCATTATCAAACTCAATCAAGGCATCACTCAACAGAGCCTCCACTCAGAGCTGCAGCTCTGGGAGCAGCTACCACCCACCCTTGGCGTCCAGGATGGCAGACAGACCCCGTCAAACATACCAGGCATTGCTTCCTACCAGTTCCGCGTCTGTTCTTCCCCTATCATTTCACTAAGAATTATCCCTGGGATTATCTAAAATAAACGTAGAATTTTGAGCACAATCTTTTCAACTTGGGATCCCTAATCAAAATGAATTAAAGACCACAATCTAAGTACATTCTTTTTTTATGAGGAAGGAGAAACAATCCTTTTATGATCAGAAGTGAACATGAAATTCATATGCTCTGTGTTCTTTATTAAATAGCAAGGGCTTTCAAAAATGCTGAGTAAAAGATCAAAAACTCCATCTTAAGCCATAATTAACTTTCAATTATTTGATGGTTATCCCCCCCGGAGCACAAATATGACTGTCAAACCATTGAAGTGGTTACTGGGGTGTTTATCACAGTTACTAACACTTGCCTTATTTTTAAATCTGAAGTGGGAATTTTCATTTTTCAAAATTGGATGCTTCTGAATTCACTGATCACAATCCCTCCTACACTCCATGAGCATAGTGAGAAGTGGGGAGAAAATAAAGCTGGAGACAGGAATCTAAATGCTTCATCAGGACAACTTTTGATGTGGTCAGCCTTTCTTGAGACACAAAAAGAAGTATTCAGTCAGCAGCCAACATTGGAAACCCTGAGAGCAGAGTTGTGTGAGACCCCAGGACCCAGTCTCCCCCAAGCTGGCAGTGGAAGAGTGTGGCTGTGAGCAGAGGCCATTAGTCTGGGCAAGTCAGATGAGAGCCAGTGGTCCCCCAACATGCAAGCAGCAAAGGCAGATCATAGCTTGTCTCTTCCTGACCAGCAATGTGATCACTGCACCTCCCCCCTGCCCCAGAGGCCATCACTTCCAGCTTGGCAATGAACTCCTGTGCGCTCTGTATTCACTGGCTGCAGAATTAAAGAGATTGTTCTCACACTGTGAGGAGAACGAATGAGGCGAACTTAAATAGGATTTATGCTTCAATGATATTTCCTTGAGTGCCAGCATGAAATGTCGTGCTTCATTTCCATCAGCTCACAGGCCTCCCACGACGGATCCCAGCCACTCTTTCTCTTTGAATCTTTCCTTTGCCTGAGCTTGTTTCATTTGTAAGCCCCCACCCCTAAAGGGAGCTTCTGAACAGTAATAGGACAAGAGGCATTAATAGTGTAAATGTGACTTTTCCATTTGTAGGAATGACTGTTACCATCAAAAAGCTCCCTGAGAGCCATCAAACTTGAAACAGAAGAATGCCACATGGGTTCTTTTTCTTTGTCACCTGGGAATTGGGCTGAAAATGTGAATATTTCTTCCCATATCTCCATGATGAAACATTTTGTTTATCTTCCCAAAGCCCAACTATTTCTTACTTTCAAATAGGGAAGAACTAAAGGTAGGAAATATGAAACCTTTTATCACAGAAAGGGGTGAGGGGGAAGGAAGAAGCTAAATGCAGAGGGAATACACAGGAACAGGCCTTTGCGGAACGCAAGCAAAGGGACTTGCACAATGCAGGGTTAGGGAGGTGGAAAAAGGTGATTTCGTTTTTGTTTTCATTCAAAGGATTCTCATTGAGTTACGCCATATTCTTCACTAGACTTCTTAACCCAGGAGGCCTTCTTTCATATATTCATACTGGAATATATTGTTGTGTCTTGTTGTGTGTTCATACTCTAAGAAGGTCCTTACCAGACTCTGCCTGTCCTAGTCACATGTCCTGTATAGGCTGTGGGTGACGAATGGTAACCCTGCAGAGATATCCAGGAGATGGACATCATTAAAATTCATCTTTTATTCCGTATTTAACTGATGCTCCCAACAATATCTCTGCCTGAATATTATGAGCAGATATAATTACCTAAAACCGTTCTCCCCATGTGTTCAAAACCATCCACCCTACCAACCCCAGAATAGCAGAGCACTTTGCAAGCACTTTGCAAGCCCTATACAATTCTTGATATTTTACAGAATAAAGTTCCCCAGGTTAAATCAGAGCCAAAATTTCTCTACCAAAGGCTAGAATTTTCACCATGTTCTTTGTCTTGAAACAAAGCTTAAACAAGTACAATGTATGCAGTAACTTTGTACTTTAGTATCAAAACTTTGACACAGTTTGAACCATTTTACACAAAATGTAACTTAAAAGAAAAATAAAATTTGAATAATTAATCATGCTACAAATATTACAAGAAAGAATACAACCAATACTCTCCTAATATGACTGTCAGTTATTAAAAAGTACTGGCTGGGGCTACTTTCAGCTCAGGCTAATTGGCTAAACAAGGTCCAGTTTAGGGTCAGTGAAGAACATTCAGCCTAGACTTGCATAATTTAATCTGCTTTCCCTAAAATTTTCTCTTTGCAGAGCATCAGGCTTTGGACATCATAGATAATGGGAAAACAAAATATTAAGGACCCAAGATCTTCCATTGCTAATGTTCTGCCCAAATTTTCGATCCCCAATTGCGGAGAGACCAAGTCCACACATGATAATGCAAAAGCAAAGGAACTTTATTGCTAGTTCAAGCTAGGGTCCAAGATTCATCCAACACAGTGGAGTCTTGACATGTACCCTGACTCAAATCACAAGCAGTTTATATAGGGTTCAGTGTTAAGAAGCTATTTAGATGGTCTATTTTTAGCATTGGCCCTATTATAACAGTGGTCAGCAATTAACAGTTTGGGGGTTTTCTGGGGGGTGGGGTGCAACCCTTCATGACTGGCCAGATCCAACTGTCTAGTTCCTTATCTAGGTACATTACTCAACTGAGAGTTTGCCAGAAACTACAAGTCCTGCTCTGGGGATGCAGAAACTGAGGCTTAGTTAAGACTTAATGTTAGCTGCAGCCTGTCATGGCATCAGTCTCACCATCACACTAAGACCTAATTCTAGAGGATGCCCTCAGACCTCACTGAGTGTGGGATAGGAAGGTGGCACCGTGTAACTGGCTTCCTGGGTGAGTGTAGAGCTATGAGTGACCATGAAGCTCTAAGCATTCAAAAGCATCATCCCTTCTCTGGAATACACTAAAGTACCCTGTCCCTAAATGCCTCAGGAGTTCATTACAAAGGATAAATTAACGTGGCGTGTGCATCTCCCTATGGACACCAGTTATTCTGTTCAGGTTGGCCTCATCCAGAGATGACTTCACATGGATCTCCACTCAGTGACTTTGGCTCTGTTCTTCTGCCTGCAGGTACCTGGCACTCTATGCTTACAAGCCCCAGAAGAATGATGAGTTAGAACTACGCAAGGGTGAGATGTATCGTGTCCTTGAGAAGTGTCAGGATGGCTGGTTTAAGGGCACATCTCTGAGTACTGGGCTCTCAGGAGTGTTCCCTGGCAACTATGTGACACCCGTCTCCAGGTATGCTGTGCTCTTTTCCATTGTCCTCACTGATGAGGTCATCTGTGGCCCGGGCAACCCTAGCACAGTAAAGACAGCTTGGACATGCCTGCACTGAGGGCTCAGGATTGTGAGCTCTACTTCTGAGTAGATACCAGCTCCCAGATGGGACAGAATGAGCCAGGCTTGATTAGCACACTAAGTGGGGTGAGTGAGATGTGTCTGTACAATGTGAGTTCATACATATTCATATTTACACATGTAAAGCAAACCCCCCCGAAGTTACTATTAGTTATTGGATGTTAAAAGGTAAAAAGTAAAGGCCCTCCCGTTGATCGTCGATTTGCTCGAGCGGGCCCAGTAACGTCTCCATTGGAGACTTTGTTGTTACTGTGTCTGGCATATCAAATACTCTCGGTAGCTTGCCGGGCTCTCCGAGAGGGGCGGAGGAATCGAACTCGGGTCGGCCATGTTGGCCGCTTGTAAGGCGAATGCCCTACCCACTGTGCTATCGCTCCAGCCCATTGGATGTTAGTTGTATTGATTGTAGATAACTTTTTACTTGTATTTCCTTTTAAAATTTTCCATTATTGTTAAATATTATGTTATTTTATGACTTATGAGAGTAATAATTTTAAAAGTTATATTATTTAAAAAATAGAAAACCCAACAAAACATAGTTTATAAAGATGTTTTCCAGAGCCATCTGAGGATTTTTCAGGAGGATGAGAGGTCCAGGCCTTGATTTTATTTCAGTTTTATTAAAGAAAGCCCTTCCGAATGCCCTGTTACAGAGGCAGGGTGGGATTGATATTTTACAGAATAAAGTTCTGGGTGGGAGGAATACTGGGATCCGTGGTAGTGGAAAATGGGCACTGGGGGAGGGATATGTATTTGATCATTGTATAATTGAAACCCAAGCACAAAACTTTGTAAGTCTACAACTGTACCTCATGGTGTTTCACTAATAAAAATTTAAAAAAAAGAAAGAAAGAAAGAAAGAAAGCCCTTTAAGGGCACACAAACAAATCGAAGACATTAGATCAGGACTCTCCCTTTTGTAGCAGCACTGATATGAATAAATAAATAGTGCCTAGATCTTTCATCATTGTCTAGATGGATTCACACTTTCCAAAGAAGCAAGGGCAGTAGGGCTTTAACTGAACAGGAGATAAACTCAGTCTTCATGTCAGCCAATGGTCCTTCCTGGAAAGCCCATAATTTGTAAACCACTTGAATCAATTAAAAAATTATTTACTTGTGAAAAATGAGATCAATATATATTAGATGTGTTTTTTTAAAAAAAAAACAATCTTAGTTGTGGCTAACTGGTTCGGAGTTCCATGGGAGGGGCAGACTTCAGGAACTTCCCAGGTTTTTCCAGGAAGTTCTTTCTTTAGAAGCTGTTTTACAGAAGACCTGACTCAGTGCTGTAGGGGCTCTAATGTGATTGAAGTCTGAGACAGTGGAACCAAGCCTCAGACACGGGCTCTTTGACCCAACTCAAGAGCTGTGTACCCACGTTCTTTCTCTTTGCCACCAGAGAGTTTCAGTGTCTCACAGCTGGGATCCAGAGGGCACAGAGTGTTTACTCAGCCCCATAACAAATGGGAGACATTCTTGTCCTATTAAAAGGCATCAACAGAGGGTTGGAGCAATAGCACAGTGGATAGGGCATTTGCCTTGCATGCGGCCTACCCGGGTTCGATCCCTGGCTTCCCATATGGTCCCCTGAGCACTGTCAGGAGTAATTCCTGAGTGCAAAGCCAGGAGTAACCCCTGAGCATTGCTGGGTGTGACCCAAAAAGGAAAAAAAAAGGAAAATAAAAGGCATCAACAGGTCCCCTGGACTCTAGACTCTGGACCCCTGGACTTTTCTCTATCTCGTATCCCCATGACTAATGAAGTTAGCACAAATTACATACATGCTGAATAAAAGGATTAAGGTCCATTTCAAAATTTTTTGTTTCCTTTTATACTTCTCTAACACTCAAAATAGGTTTCATGCAGAAACTTTTATATGTCTCTGGGATGTGGTTGCATGTTCCTGACATCCCTCAAAGACACGGTTATTTGAACCCTTTTCATGAGTCCAGCAGCAGTGAGGAGGCAGCTGTCAGGAGGGATATGGTCCTGGCCATGCATCCCACCACCCGTTAGAGCATCCATGTCTGTGGGAAGATGTGACTGAGTCAGCATCTTTCCTGCTGTGTTTAGGGATGTACTGATTGATTTTTGTTCCAATGATTCCACGTGTCTCTGGTCTAAATTGGTGACTTCCATCGGCACATTCCTCTGTTTCTTAGTGTCCTTTTGCTCTTTCTGGAAATTCATAGTATGAGTTAACCTTCATGGAGGTCCTATAGAGACTACTCTGCTGCCCAGCTCTGGGTGCTCTCTCTTCATAGAAATGTAGTTTGTATTTTTGTGTGCATTTGCCTCTGGACACCAGTCTTCATCTCTTAGGCACAGTAGGTAAAGGGGACCTTTATCAATGAACTGTGCAGTGTGGCTTGAGCTGCATTTCCACTCAGAGTTGTTCTGCTTTATTCCTTTAGGGTTCCCATAGGAGGGGGCCCACCTCCCCGGAATAATTCAGTTGGAGGGTCTCCACTGGCCAAGGGGATGGCTACAACCATCCATCCAGGTGGTGGGAGTCTGAGCAGCCCAGCTTCTGCCTCCAGGTCTAGTCTGGCCCTCAGCGCACCCACAGCCCAGGCTCAGCAGCACCCTGCCTCACTCCCGCTAGGGACTTGTCTGCGGCACTCAGCCCAGTTGGCAGCCAGCCAAGCCCGAAGCACCATTTCTCCAGGTACGTACCAGGTTACCAGGGTCCTCGCTGCACCGGAGAACGTGACAAGAGGGGTTTCTCGAAAAAGTCATGGAAACATTTTAGCTCAGGTTTCAAACAGTCTATAGGGGGTTACGTTGTATTTGTTTATAACTGCCATAAAATTCAGCTGATCTGGAAGTGTGTGGCTTATCATCTCATACTCTCCTGGCAGCTGGATTGGAATGCACTGGAGCAGTGGTTTTCATACTTTTTCTATCTATGAGTTGTCACCACCGTGGCCCATGGACCTACATTTAAAAACTACTGTCAGTTAAAGGGCAATAACGTTTTCATGGAACAGCAGGAAATTTCTGGAGTCAGTCACCAGATCATTGACTGGTAGTTGAAAACCACTGGCTTCTCAGACATTTTCTTGTAGGAAGGGGACTCCATGGATAGATTTGTTACAGTAATGCCTCCGGACACCCCAACGGGGGAGTTTGTGTCAAATGTACTAGCCTATTCGGGTGTCTAGAGAGGCAGATCTGTCAGGACAGAGCTTGTGAAGCAGCACAGCTCCATATTATTTTTTATGTTATTTCTTCTGGCTCTGAGACCAGAAGGAAGAATGACCATTGACCCTTCACCTTTTGGTCACCATTATCTGTGGAATTTAAATGGAAATGGTTGTTGCCTGCATAGTGCAAGGGGAAAGAAATTATAGAATGAATCTTAGATGCATAAAGAAGCTGCAGATCTCTTCTTTGGAAGCATAGTTGTGATCTAGTAAGCATGGCTTAAGTGGGACCAGAAAGATAGTCCAGCAGGTAGGGCAAACTCTAGCAACCTAGATAGTCCTCCAAGCCTGCCTGGAGTGATCCCTAAGTGCAAAGCCAGGATTAAGCCCTGAGTACTGCCAGGTGTGTGACCCCAAAACTAAAAAAGGGGGGATTCCCACGACCCCATACCCAGCATCCTTCCCAAATGCATGCAGAGCTAAGGTCATTGTCATAGAGTAGTAAAGGGAACCCAGAACAGCTACATTTAATTCTGAATGTCTTTTAATGGTAAGGACTTCCTCTCCCCCTCCAAACTTATTTTCTAATAATTTTTCCTCTCATTCTCAAAGTGAGTCTTAGGAATCATAAAGTGTATAACTTCATTTTTAGCAGTAAAGTATGTCATTTTAAAGAATCTAGCCAAACAGAATGAAACCCACTGGAAATGCTCCAGAGAGAGTCCGAGTCAGAGTGTGAAAGTCCAGGGCTCCATGCAGCACCCCACTATACTCAAAGACCCCTTGATGAGTGGGGTGTTTCTGCCCACCACTCACTCCAGAGACATTTGCCTGCACATTCCCACATGAGCATACACTGAAGCCAACACTAGCAATGTGGGGCCTTGCAGGAACCCCTGGAAGTGACACAACCACTGGTGTCTCAGAAGCAGCCACGTGGTCTTCCTCCTACTCACCAGCAACAATTCCAGCCATGCACTCAGCAATTACACACTGACTGGCAGCAAAGCAGGGTCCCAGCTTCAGGACAATGAGTGCCCCTGGGGGCTGTTTGATGTGGGGGGAAGGTGATTGGGTTTCTGATTTCAGAAAGGAGTGAGGAGAGCCCTTGAAAAGTCTGGTCAAAGAATGAGGAGAAAAATTCTAAGAGAAGGCCACAAATAAGAAAAAGAGGTTGTCCTCAAGAGTTGAAGGAAAAAATAGAAATCGCACAATTGCAAAAGAGATTATTCCATCTTGACAGCTGCAAATAATTCAGTAAAGAGCCTGAACAGAGGCCTCAGGAAGACAAGTTTCTTCCTCCTTCCCCTTTCCTCTGGCTTGTGGCACCTGTGTGCAGGACACTGTGGAGCACCCCACAGCAGTAGTAACTTCTATTTTCACTCTTCTTTGAGAGAACTGGAACATAATGATGCAAACATTGATACAATGATGTTAATCATCAAAGTATCTGCCAACGGGGTTATATTCTTTCTTAAAGGTAGTGAATACCAAGGAAATTTTAAGCCAGAAAAACTCTTTGCCAAATGTCCCCAGGAACAGTTGGAAGGCTGGCCTGTTGGTACCCAAGAGTGGCAGTCTACCTAGGAAGGAGCTGCTGTGAGAGCACTGTGTGACTGAGTGAGAGCACTGCTCAGGCTGGGTGAGCCAGAGCTCTGGAACTGGAGCAAAATGATGAGAAGACTCAGAGAAAGAAAGGTTATGACTTCCACAAGATACTGATAGAAATACTGAGGGTATGAGGAGCCAAGTCCAGGTTCTAGAATTCTGAACTGATAACTCGGATACTAACATCATCCCTGACTAAGAAGAGCATAAAAGGTGACTAGTTTATGGAAGACAGAATTCCTGTGACGTGTGAGCACAGTGGCTGTAAGTGGACTCCTGTCCTGTGTATGACTCCATTTGCCTGGGGGAAGGTGAAGGAACCAGACCTTGCTGGTCAAGGTGACTTGCGAGTCGGGCAGCCCTGCCCTCACAGGCATCCCTGTGCCTGACTTCTGCTCAGAAGACCGCAGGGACAATGAGGCCCCCTTTGGAGAAGAAGGTGGTAAAAACATCCAGCGTTTTAGGATCACTTGGGTGGATTGGTGTTCTGTGGATTATCGGGGGAGAGACTAGGTTTCCAGTGTCCTGTGATGCCTCCTGTTGGATGGTGCTCGTGTTCGTAGGGGTAGGGTCTGCACAGTGCTCAGCATTGCTCAGATTGTTGAACTTCTGTAACTTGAAAATTGTATTTTCTATGTATCTTTTGCTTCAATAGCCAATAGTGAGCTCTGTGTTTGGGTAACTCTGACCTCCTGGACACTGTAGTTGTACTTAAAGAGCTCCACAGTGTTACTACCTGATGTCAGACCTTTCTTCTCCACCAGCCTTACCAATAACATGGGTTCAGTTCATTAGCCAGTATGTCCTGATCACTTCTATCCCCAGATGCAGCCATTACATGATCTTTGTGATCAAATAACATCCAAGACTCCTGACTGCTGTGCCATGATCTGACCATAAGCATCCCCAAATGTGAGTCCTTGGTCCTGGGAGCACTGAAACAGGACCCAGGGGGTCTTGGGCCCACATTCATTTCCCTCTCATCACTGACACCAGCATGAAGGACCATCTCCATGTAAACCATCACAGAAAAGTGAGACAGTTCTACTCTTCACCTCAGCCCTGGGTTATTGGTGCAGAATTCTAGGATAATGACCCCCTGATGCCCTGCCTTGCTGGCAATGTTTCAATTCCATGAAGAAAACAAGACCTGCTTATCATTTCTCCTCCATGCAATACCAAGCAGAATCAAATAAATAGTCATGGTTGGAGCAGCACAGCCCTGAGTGCCAGTCCCTCGTCACTATAGTAACCACTGGAGTGTAACAGGCTTCTTATTTTATCAGTTTGATTTTATATATAGGAAGAATGAGAAACAGGACGATGAAAACAGCTTCCAGGGCTCATTCCAACTTCATACTCATCTCTATAAAATTGCTATCACCACCACACTAAAAAAATGGCTCTTACCACATCATATCAGTGAATTAAATGCCACTGAATTCCCACAGCATTTTCCACTTTATCCCACATTTAAAGAGGAAAAATACTGTTGACAGTACAAGTAATGGATTGTTGGCATTAGTAATTGCCCATTTCAGCATATCCCAACACAGATGGTTGAGAGGCATTTTATCAATGTTCTTGTCTCGAGCCCAAGTCAGGCAGTTTGACAAAGGCTTAATTGCATTGGTCATAGCATCCAGTATGACTTGTTCTACTTGATTAATATAGAGACAGAGCTCTTCTTCTAAAATTCTAGTTTCCACACATACACATACTCAAGCAAGTACTTAGAGGCAAGAGTATAAAAGGCATGGCAGGATATGGAAATGTAGGGAAGTCCCCAGCTGGACCCATTTCTACTCCCAATTATAAAGGACAATAAATGAAACAATACAGTAGAGTTTGAATAACACATGTGGGTATTAAGAAGACATGTCAGAAATATTCAGATGTGGGAAGGAGTAGAGAAGTGGATTATGGACAGTTTTTATTTTTAATTGAGTCACTCTGAGTACATAGTAACAGATCTGTTCAGGGTTGGATTTCAGTAATACAATGCTCCAACACCCATCCCTCCACCAGTGTACATTTCCCACCACCAATGTTCCCAGCTTCCCTCCTGCCACTCCCACCCTAGCTTGTCTCTGTGGCAGGCACTTTCCTTCTCTCTGTTTCTGTATCTGTCCCTGTGTTTCTGTCTGTCTCTGTGTTTCTCTCTCTCTCTCTCTCTCTCTCTCTCTCTCTCTCTCTCTCTCTCTCTCCTCTCTCCTTTTAGACACTATGGTTTGGAATAGATATACTGAGAGGTTATCATGTTTTTTCCTTTTCAGCATGCATTTTTAAGATGAGGTACTTGGTACTTAAATCAAGGTGTCCTTGATACTTAAAGGACAGTAGGAACTCTGAGTAGACACTTGCACTTTCTAGAGGGGCACAAGCGAGAGCAAAGGCAATTAGGAGGACCCTCTCTTGGCTGACTATTTAATTTAATGTGACTAAAACAAAGATAAGGGAGGAGGAGTTTAATGAGAGTTTTCCTGAACTGGATATTTTTAGACCTCAGATATGTGAAAAATGTAGTATTCTGTGGTGAGAAGGGATGAAAGTGAAAGTGTGTTAAAAGCTCTGTGGCCTTTTCAGTGGTACACTAAAAAACAGACCAACTCAGTATGTAAAAGCAAAGAAAGCAAGAGAGTGAGTACCTGTGGTAAACCTGCATGAGGTACAGACAAATCAGGAGGGCTTCTTTACAAGATGTCAAAGAATTTTCTTTTTACTCTGAGTAAAAGTGAGGCAAAATAGAGTATTATTTTTGTCTTTCCTTACATAGTAAAACCTTTTTTATTTGCGTATTTAGATGGACAATACTACCAAAAAAAATTCATGTCTAGTTTTACACTGGGACATATATGAAGACTGGCTGCCAGAGTTCTAGCACATTCCCATCACCAACAAGGACCCTGTCCTCATACCTGCCACCCTCCTGCCTCACTCACCAGAAGCAAGCAGGAAAAAGGAACATGCATTATTTTCTCTGTGTTTAGAAGTTAATTTTGTGCAGTTTTCTTTGTTTTAGTGATTTGTTGGCAACATGTGATTGAAACTATCTTTTAACTATCTTTCACTTCTAATTACTTATTTTATTTATCATAATCACCTCGTTTCATCCATTTGTCCCAAAAGGGATGATTTTATCTTTAATTGTACAGGGATTTGTAATACTGTTAATCATACACCAATCCCACAACCATTACACCTACCCACCACCATATTTTGGGTGTTTCCATCCCAAAGCAGAACCAAAATAATATATTTTGTATTGTTTGTT